ATGAATTTATGGACTTCGGCATATTTACAAATTGAAAGTGTATAACTATGACTTTTTGAAGAGTTTTTTCAAGTTTATTTTATTTACTTTTTGAGAGAGAGAGAGAAGGAGAGGGAGAGAGAGAGAGAGAGAGAATATATCCCAATCAGGCGCCATGCTGTTGGTGCAGAGCCCAATGGAGGGCTTGAAGTCACAAATGGTGAAATCATAACCTGAACTGAAATCACGAGTCGGCTGCTTAATTGACTGAGCCACTGAGGTGACTCTACAACTATGATCTTTAAATGCTTTTCTATAGCAGTTCACAGGAATTGTGCACAAAATAGAGGCTAACCTATGAAGTGCAGACTATAAAACAAACAAACAAAAAAACAAACAAGTTATTTAGGACAGCTTGTGATTGGGAATGTCCAGAGCTATGACTTCTAGGGATCTCTGCTCTGCAATGTGAAGAAGTATTTTGTGAAGCACTTTGCACATACAAAGTGTTCTGTCATTGGAAGCATTAAGGCGCATCACAGCTGATGTTTGGGGAAGCAAGAGAATGCATCTCTGGCTGGAGTGGACTAGTGTTTGCTTGGAGCTGGCTTATTTCAAATAGCATATGCCTGATGCAACTGTCCTATAGTTTATGCTTTGCACAAACTATCCTAATCTCTTCCAGGCCCAGCCAGAGCTCATGTCCCCAAATGTCCCTTATGTCTACATATTCCCTTTGTGGTTGGATTCCTAGATTTAGGCAGCTGGTGTAAGTTCACACTGATACTTAAAAAATGAAGTCCAGAGTCAGAGAGTTGCAGGGTCTAAAGAGAGGTGGGAAAGGAGTGACTTGCCCACCTCATTCTGGACTCACATGACATAAGGATCACTTCTACCTGAGGGTTCTTCGGATCAGATCACTGTTTCTTAAGAAGGGGCATTTTCTGAATGCAGCTCCTTACCTACTTCCTTTCTACCTTCTTGTATGATCATGCCATAAATCTGGAGACAACTGCTAGTCGTTCAGTTTGCATTCAAGAAGAATCCCTCCTCTTTTGGATTTCATACTCTGTGGCCCTCCAGGGTCCTGGGGACCTAAGTAATTTGTCATATAACCTGGCCCCTCATGTTATAGTCTATTTTATTTAATAAAACAGTAGGGGAAGCCGAAAGCAAATTGAGAAGGCACTCCAATCCTGAGCTGAGAGCATCTGTTATTGGATCTCTGAGTTCCCTTTTATATTTCTCCTCTAAATGCCCACCGTAGCTGAACACACAGGAACAGCAAATCTTTGCAAAGATTCCAGGAGCAACAGGCAATAATGAAATAGAATTAAAGAAGATCTAGACATTAAGTTGAAAACTCTAGGATAAATGAAGAAGACTGATCTATGATAGCTCCAGAAGAACAATATCTAAAGTCTCATCCTGAGGAGAAGTCAGTTTGATGCTGGGCTCCCATTCAGAGGAAGAGCTGGCTGGCCTCCCATTTTATTATGTATTGATTTTATTAAATAGATGATTCTATCATTTTTACTTAAAGAGTATCACGTGACTCGAGAAATGATACACACCTTTAAGTGCCATTGTTCAGGTTAAAGGCTGCCACTTGGAGTTCTATATACATTTTTCAACACCAGCGAAAAGTCATTGTAATGGGATCACAGTGGTGTTACCGTTAGCATCACTATCAATCCTCCAGCAATTCCCAGAACTAAATAACTAGAATGTTGGGGAAGCAGAAAATATACTCATTTAATTTTTATAAATTATCTAAACCCACTTTCCTGAAATTCATTTATGTCTCTCCTAGATATGCTACATCTACACATTTATAAGAATTAGATCATTGATTTCTTTTTCCTTATGATTCAGTTATCCAATTCAATGACAAACTGTGATGCAGCCTTCAAACTTGTTTCATAAAATAATTATATCTAATTTAATGCCCTTTGAAATGCTACTAGCCCAAGCACTGGGAAAAGCAAAATGTAAGCAAAATGCAATAATCTGTAATAGAGGAGAAAAAATATTTATCCTGATAAAAGCATCTTAATATTGGTGGAATTTAATAAATTGGCGACAGAATAAGAATGGTTATGAGCTTACAGTTATATTAACTTTGACTTTAAAAAGGCTTATAATTGTGGAATTAGTAAGGACGCTTCAGTTAAGAAGAAAACTCCTTGGGGGAGTGTGGGCAAGAAACAAGCTGTCACGGCAACTGCTAATATTTATTTTTGCATTTCCAAACAAATATTAATTATTTGCTTCTCAACATGTTTCTATACCTCTATTAAGTTCTTGAATGGGAGAAACAGGTAGAGCGGTGAGGGGAAATAGCTGTAGACTACGCTAAATTTTAAGGTAGAGAGGAATCAAGGATATAGTTACGACGTTTGTATGACTAGAGACTAGAGGAGTTCAAGAAAAAATATTAAGACATTATGTTCAGATATAAACTAGCAACAAAATAAATGATACAGACAAAAGGACTTTTTTTAAAAGCAATCTCAAAAGAGGCTGCAATGTAAGGAATGACAGAAATTTGGACGTGAGTGTGAACTTGAAAACTTAGTAGATTTATGGCCATAGGGGAAATAAACATAGCAGGATAAAAGAGCAAAATTGTGGAATTAAGCATGGAGTGGTATGTCGGGAAGGAATTCTTTGGGAAAACCACCCTGGTTTTTAGGGTTTCCCAATTTCTGTGGCACAAACTGCCCCCCCTACCCCGCCCCAGCCATGGTATGAGGAATGCAGAGCAAAAGAGATGATACAGTCAGTGGCTTTGAGAAAAGCCAGCACCAGTCAGCCCTGACACAACATCACATGTGGGGAGAAACGCTTTAAGTCTGTGTCTGAGAACACGGCAGATGGCATTTACAGTCCAGTGAAGCCAGGGTTATCATGAGGCACGTTGGCAGCCATGTTGAAGAGTTGGCTCTCCATTCCTCTGGAATCACTGATGGGGTCTGGCTGAGAGAGAAAGGGGTGAGGAAGATGTGTTTCTTGGAAAGAAGGAGTAGCGAGTAGAATGTCTGATGGAGGCGGAGATTCTGTGCATGGAGCTCATTTAGCCAACTTGAAGTGGGTCTGGGTGAAAAGAAAACAAGAAAGCTAACTGGAACGGTGTAGTAGGACAGGGAACAGAGGTTAGCAAAAGACAGTGAGAAAGGAAAAAGCTGGCATACAGGGAATAATAGAACAAAGCTGGAGTAGCTCCAGTGTTTCTCCAGAGTGGATGGGAACAATGGTGGGGATGAGGAAGAAAGCATATATTTAGGAGATCCAGGTGGTATCCTTAAATGGGATCCATTAGTTGAGGAGAACTGGTGAAAAAACAAGGGAAATGGGACAAAGGTCTGGATTGAGTATGTCGCTCTTTTGACAAGATGGAAAATAACAGCCCTAAGAAGAAAGAGAGAGTAAGAGAGACAACAGACTTCAGAAACACACATTGAAATAAGCATGTCCAGAGGAAAAACAGACACTTGGAACAGATAACTTTCCTGGTGGGATTTTCTCTAGGGAAGAGGAAGAATTTGAACATGCTAAACCTGAACGCCATCAGCTACGAGCTAGAACACCTTGAGCAAGTCACATTCCTTAACCTCGGACCCCTCAGCCGCAAAATGAGTCTTTAATAAAATACCTATTTGAGACGATGACACATGGAAAGGCATGCCTGGTCCATCATAAGCCATCGGTAGGTACTAGCTCCCAGCAGGAGTGAGGTAACTGTGGCAGCAATATGCCATCATCCCGTAATTAGCATCAGGGAGATCTTAGGAGACCACAATATTTAACAGAAAAAATTTTTTTAAAGAGGGGCACCTGTCTGGCTCAGTCGGTTGAGCTTCTGACTTTGGCTCAGGTCATGATCTCACGCTCTGTGAGTTCGAGCCCCGTGTCGGGCTCTGTGCTGACAGCTCAGAGCCTGAAGCCTGCTTCGGATTCTGTGTCTCCCTCTCTCTCTGACCCTCCCCCGTTCATGCTCTGTCTCTATCTGTCTGAAAAATAAATAAGCATTAACATTTTTTTTTAATTTTTAAAGAAAGCGTTCATTAAATAGCAGAGGCTAAACTATAAGCATTCCGATAACTGAACGCTGCCCTACGCGACTTGTAGCCGATGCTGTGAATTTGGACTCATGCTGGAGAGCACGGATTAGAAGCCAGACTTGGGTGAATCTTCAGACGTCACATGCAAACTGTCCCTGGAACCTTTTGAAAACAAAAATTCTGTTTCTTCATCTGTTAAATGAGCGTCCGTGCTTACCGTTCCCATGGCTGTTTTGAGCATTAAATGGTATGATCCAAGTACAGCGCTCAGCACGTTTTTCTAGCCTCACATCAAGGCCGTAATAAATGTTGGCCACGCTTTTATTTTTGAAACCCTGTGATGAGTTTTTCTCGGGAAAGTCAGAACTTGAGAGTGACAGTAGGCTCTTTCCTAAAGTTAATGGGTCAGTAAAGTAGTGTTATGGAAAAGGTTAAAAATTGCAGGGCGTCAGGAAAGTAATTCTAACCTTGCCCCCAAATCATGCTGCTGAACATTTGGATAGAGTGTGTTCCTTCATGATCAACTTATTTGAAAGGTCTAAGAGTGTTCAAAAAATCTTTAAAAGGTATAATTTAATTATCAAGTGGTGCCTGTCATTTTTAATGAGAACAAAATGTAAAAAAGGAGCCGTCCAATCAAGAAGGACATCAATGTGCACGGTAAATCTTAGCATGCTATGACAGCAAGTGATAACATTATGCAGAAAGCCATAGAATGTGAGAAACAGAACGAAGAAAAATTCGGATGTTTAAGGAACACATGTAAATTTCTTATCAGCTTTACAGAGCCCAGTGATGGCTTCCTGGGTTACATGTAACATTGACTTCTAGGAACAGAATAAGCTGGCATGGTAAGACCCAGCAGGACGCGAATTCTTTTTGTCTACTGGAAACTTATTCCATCAGTACCAAAGCCTTAGTCTGGGTTCACGACACATGTGGTCATATGGTACGTACCCCTGCAAAATGGAGCTGGAAAGTCCCAGGAAGCACCATTCCCAGGGCTGACGATGCAGGTCAGAATCGCATGGCCTTCCAAGATATAGCCAGAGAGACAGCTGTACCGGATTTTGTCTCCTATGTTGAATCTTGTGCCGTGGAGAACTCCTTTCAGTATCTCCCCGGGATTTCCACATGTATGGCTGGGTAAAACTATTAAAAGAGAAATAGGAGAAAGGCAGAAAAGTGAGAGATTTTTCTGGTGAGATCAACTTATTGCCCAAAGCCTGCACTGCATTTGAACTATTCAGATTAGCAAAGCTAACGCAAAACCATTTTCATCTTCCCTGAAAAAATAGAGAAAATGTATTCTTTTTTTTAATAACGTCTGCCACTTAACCCTTTATAAGGGTATTTTAAGAGTATAAATAAATGCAGTTTGAGAAGACGCAGAAATACAGTTCTGCGTACAGTGTTGTAGACGATGTCTACATTATTTTTCTAATTATGAGATTCTCCAGTCTCACGGAGTTGGCAGACAGATAACACGGTAGGATATGGACAGCTATCCAAAATACAGCACGGATGAATATTCATGCCATATTTATCTTCACTGCTTTAGGACCAGCACAACAAAATACACATCACTAATCGACGTTAGTTGACATTTTATGGATAAATCACTGAATTAAAGAATAAACAGAAGATTTCATTCGTGAATCTGGTAGGCTTAAAAATGCACCACTTGTATATTCCAACTTATCTGTTAGGTTCATGCATTTATAGTGTCTGATTCACAACGAAGTTTTAGCCATCAGTTTTGACAAATCAAGTATTATATTCATTTGCTTGTAAGAAAGCCTCGATTCCGTTCTTTCTTGACCTGCTCGCTTTTTATGTGGATAGGATACTCTGCCTGAGAATTCAACTGCCTTGAAACCTCATCGATAGGAGACCATTCCACACTCCGAACATAATTTCCAACCTAGGTGATTCACTATTAGATTACATGGGTGAAGTTGATGACTGTTGGTTATAGTCTATATCTTTCTGGTTTATTTTATTTTTTTTCAACGTTTATTTATTTTTGGGACAGAGACAGAGCATGAACGGGGGAGGGGCAGAGAGAGAGAGGGAGACACAGAATCAGAAACAGGCTCCAGGCTCTGAGCCATCAGCCATCAGCCCAGAGCCTGACGCGGGGCTCGAACTCCTGGACCGCGAGATCGTGACCTGGTTGAAGTCGGACGCTTAACCGACTGCGCCACCCAGGCGCCCCTATCTTTCTGGTTTAAATTTCGCATCTGACCAGTAAGTCAGAGCTATCATGATGTAGTGAAATAAACCAAGGAGACTATCACTTAAAAAAGAAATGAGTTCCAAAAAACATTTCCAATAAACCAATTTGATTATTTTATGTGTCTATCCTTCTTTTTTTAACATGGACATTGGAAGTGTATTTTGGTATATATGTACAAATATTGCAATATACTCTGTTTTCTTTGGTTGAAAAATGGAGAAATAAAACTTGCCCAGTGAATGGAGAGGAAATTTAAGTGATTTCCAAAATTATTTCTATTACAAAATTACTTAAATGTGTATAAAATAAGCTTAGAGAAACACTTAGAAAACAACCACTACCACTTGGATATTTAATATTGACATGTTTACGAAATCACTGCCTACATAGTCAAAGGGTTCTCAGTTCTAGTTTTTAAAAAATAGTTTGTGAAACCAGTCTACAGAAACCTCTTTAACACAATAGAAAATAGTTCACTATGATCCACAATATTCTTTGTTGTCTTTTATAAAAAAGAAAGTCTGTATTTAATTCCACATTCACTATCGCTAAGTCAAGGGGTATTTTTAAAATGTTCTTTAAAAAGACTGGCATTTAACTGTCTCTGGCTTTTCTAAGGTAGAAATGATTTCAGTTCATAACTCAGGATGCCTGCCCTCCAACAGAAGCTAGGGATCTGACAGCCAGAGACAGGCAAGGCAGGGCTGAATTTCTACCATCAATGGAGAGAGAGAGGTAGGGGTGGGGGAACTATGTACATATGAATGCTTTCGGTGTTTTCCTTCCTTGTCCAACAATATTCAGAATTAACAAATCCTTCCTTGCCATTTTTTCAAGGGCCTTTATTTAGTTCATTAAGTGCTAAGACTTATTAGAAGATACATATTCACTTTAGATTGTGTCCAGAAAATGGTCTCCCCGAAGGCAAGAATTATCAGTGTAAATCTGTCAAAAAATTTTAACATCAGCTTTTACACGTGACTGCTTTCAGAACTGGAAAAGACAAATGAGCCATTCTGAAAGTTGAATGTGGCCTGTACAACTTTTCTATCCATTTGTCTATTAAAAACAGCAAGAAATCATTTTTAACGATTAGCTTTTGCACAGATAACATAATTGACTTTTGTACAGAAAGACCACAGTAACCAAAGTACAATAGGAAAGAGATCACACGATGTGGCTGCTGCATGAACAAACATCATTCTGTATTATCTGTGTGATACCCATTTACTACGTTTAAAGAAATGTGAAATGCCTTATGTAGAACTTGACTGTGCACTGATAACTGCTGGGAAGTGTATAATTGCATGGACTTTGAAATGCTTAAGAGATACAAAAAGAAAAATCATTCCTGAAAATAAGGATCTCCCCAAGCAGACTTCTGAAAAGAAAACATCCATGCCTTAAAACTTTTAACAGAGTCTAATGGAACAGTTGGAAACAGACAAATGATGAAATTCAGGAAGGAAAGAATTTTGGCCATTCTAGATCATCAAGCTAAGAGAGCTATATTTAATAGGATACAATGCAGATGTTAAAAAGTATTGACTGCCAAAGGAAAAAAATCGCAGTAGGTGGACGATGTATCGTGCCCAGAATGCACATCACATCTCAAATAGCACGGAAGACGTAAGGGCTCTTCCTCAGGTGCGGGGGTCAGGCTTCCAGGGAGAGCAGTGACTATGGTGCCGCTCATGCCCATCAAAGCCCTGTGCAGAGATGGGCATCTCTGCCTCCCCTTCTGTCAACTGTTCCCGGGCACCTTAGACATCTCCTTTTTTGTTCCTGTCTACAGATTTGTCTTTATTTTAACATCTTGGCAATTGCATTCAAATTCAGAAAACGTTCACCCAACACGTAGTATTTGCACAGCCTTGTTTTCAACCAACACCAAAATGGAACAGGAAGAGAATGGGATTTCAGGCTCTTCTTTTGCTCTCTTATTAGCTCTGTTAATCTACCAAAAACGTGCCTTCGTCAGTATTTATTTCACGGGGCACAGTGTGAGGATTGAACGAGTCAATGCAGGTCTCAAAATACCCGCTCTGTGTGACTCTACCATTGGATTACATTGCAACCGACCACCTCCCGTTTAGACCTGGAATTGCCCTTACATCTGTGTCTATATGGTGTCTAGAACAATGTCCAGCTCTCAGCAGGAACTTGCTAAATCTATATTTGCTCAATCAAGTGCTAAATATGAATATGAATGTAGTGTACCTCATGTATTCTTCTAGATCTATGTACAACTAAGAGTCACAGTTTGTAGCCTGACGGAAACAGAAAAAAAGCAAATGAGTTTTCAAGAACCAACTGAATGAGGTGACATTTTGGAAACAATGAATCGGCAACAAATTGTCACTTTAAGCCACTTTTCTCCCGATTTAGCTAAAAATGTAAACAGGATGCAGGAACAGGATGCAGAGGCTTAAAATGAATTAACATTTTACAAGGCAAAATAACTTAGCAAATGGGAAAAAGTGATTAAAAACTAACTTTTAAGGTTTAAAGTCACTGGTTGGTGGGACAAAATTATAAGTTTATGATTTGGGGAATTTGGGGAATAATTTATGATTTTAGGGAAAAATATTAAAGTTTTAATGTGAACAATTGCAACACGCAAATAGAAAAAGTTGAAGATGAATTCAAATATTAACTTCCAGTTTCAAAGAACACAGCAAAAAATGCACATATTATAAAAACATTTTCAAGTTCATTAAGCCATTATCTAAAACCCTCAACTGTGAAAAAAAAATGGATGAAAATAATTATAGCTCTATGCAAAGATTTAAGACAAAGACATGTAAAACTTGCCAAAGATCCAGGGGCTGGGAAAAACTAATGTAAAATAAACTCAACCCGAATGGCATTTCTGCCAATTTCATTTTAACTAATTTTTTACCCAGTTTCCCTGAAGATCATGAATGTCCCTTTGTGTCTCCCATGGTAATGAGTACACATTAAGTATTTAGTAAATACTTATTGAATTGACTTGAACTCTAATTTTAATTCCCTTAAATCCTCCCTTGCAGTCATTTGCACTCTTTCCCATGGATGCTTTAAGAAAGAAATTCTTATTTGGGTAATGGGAATTCAGCACCCAGTGCATACATTTGGTAATGGGAAAGCGTTTTCTTGAAAGGCGCTCAGGGCACAGTTCCTTCTTCCCATGGCAGACCTCATTCCACCAGATCTCATGAAGCCAAGTTTGTATACCCAGGGCTTGAAACACGGGTTGTCATTCTAATTACCCTCATGGAAATTCCCTCCATAACGCTCTTGATTTGGCAAGTGCATATGGTCACAACTCAGTGACCTCATTAGGCTATCACGTCAACCTTTAACCCAACTGTTTAAATGATGAAATGGATGTCATATCAAATCCTCTTCCAGAAGAAAAGCGAAAACATGATGCCAAAATAAAGTACAGCATTAATATTCATTATGGATGGCCAAAAGACCAGTGAACAGAAGTCTGAAATTCATCAGAAGAGAGGCAGCATTTTTCACAGCCTGTGCACAACCAATGGAATTTCACTGGGCGCGATCATTTGGAAACCAGGTCCCAGAGGGTAAATGTCAGGCTCTTTGTTTACACTTTGCCTTTCCTGGACTCTCACTGCAGCTCAAGGAAATAAAACTTCAAATACCCACCTGACACACAACAGTTGAAATGTAAACTAATGATAAGAGATGCGCTTGTCTGCGGACTGTGTGCTCTGCAACGTCCCCCCTCCCCCCCACCCCCACCCACAAAATTTGGGAAGGGT